CCCCTAAAAAAAACCTGTGAGAAGAGTGTCATTGTCTTACATTTTTGCAAATCTCTTTCATGTCCTGCTCGAAAAAAGACAGGTAGGTTGGCTTCTGCATTATAGCAAGTGTATCAGGGCCGGGGCAGACACAAAATGCCAGACAGGGCGGCTTACACAGCAGGTTTATTTTGTCAGTACGAGGGCTACAAGCCCCAGATTCGGGGGTTGGTAAGGCTGGTGTTACTGAGGTGCCTCCTTCTGGTCTGCGACGGCCACCTTCGCGCTGGGGCGCAAGGCCTTCTGTGCACAGACCTGAGGTTCGGGTGTCCAAAGGGCCTCTTCTTGAAAGGACGCCATCAGGCGGGTGGGGCCACCCTGCAGCTCGGCCCCCTTTAACCACTCAACACATGTGAGGCCGAGGGGGTGGGGCTCGGCATGCGACTTCTCCAGAGCATAAGTCGCAGCTGAACCGCAGCGGCTGGTAAGAGCAAACCGCGTCCAACTCTAAAAACACGTATTTATGCCCGCGCCTCCCTGGAGACAGCGGCGCATGCGCACACCGTGACCCCCGTGACGCTGCCGGGGCGCAGCCTCGGGGCCACGCACACTCCCGGGAGGACGCGGGGACAGGCAAACCACGCCCTTCTAGTTTGTGAAAACAGGGCGGACCTCACCCCAGCCCCAATGCAGGGTCTGGGGCGCCCAGGCACCCACAGACCACACTTCAAGAGCTGTATGACCTCTGGCGAGTTCCTTACCTTCGTGAGCCTCCGTTTGTGGATGAGGATGGCACTGCCAACGGAAGTGGCCACTGTGAGGACTGAGTTAATACACAAATGACAAGTGAGAGCGTCCCGCTCATAGTCTGAAAAATGGCTTAACAATATATGTGCTTAAATGTACGGGGAGTAGTAATCTCTGAATGATGAAATTTATTTATTAACAAATATTTAAACTATAACATACATTTTAAAAAGTAGAAAGTAGGTATAGCTTGATGATTTTTCACAAAGTTAACGTATATTTGTTTAAAAGAACATTTGATTAAAAACAACAGAAAAAGCTACCAACAGCCCTTCTCTACCATCCGCATCCCAAGGCATTGTGAGAAAAAGTCTTTTCTGCCAAAGAAGAGCGTTCAGGCAGCCGCCATTTTGGGCGCGTGACTTGCAGCTCCCCTGGGGGCCGCCATTTTGAAACAGCAAAGGTCAGCCCCTCCCTTTTTCCTTTAAATTAGCCAGTCACGCAAGACTGCGAGCCTAAGCTCTGACCAATCAGGAGTGAGGGACAGATGACCTGCCTCAACATAAAACCTAGCGGACCACCCGCTCTGTGCGTGCGCAGCCTCCTGCAGGAGTGAAGACACAGCGTGCTGTCCGGCTCCGAGGATGCTCTGGACCCCGGGTTTGGGCTCGCCTTATTTCTACAGCATCACGGTCGACTATGAGGGGGGTTCCTCAACTCAGTGTGCCTGGGCGCCGTCAGGTGCCCTTTCCCTCCAGGAAAGAGCAAACCTGAACAAGCTTTGTGTCAGCATGAAGCTGGATTCTCATCGATGTCCAACTCTGGAGCTCACCCAAAAATAAATGTCTCTACCATGGATATGGACTTCATCTGAGGCTAACTCATTATGCCCCCTTTAAAAAAATCAGAATTATTCTTCATAACAGAGTTCATAACAACACAGCTATCTATAATAATAAAAGCATAATATGCTAATTAGACCGGACCACCTTCCAGATGAAGCCAGGGCTGCGAGGAACGCCCGGGTCCCAGGTGCCGGGTGCCAGAGGGAAGCCGGTGCCAGCAGCTGGGGGAAAGAAGGCCTACTCTTGCATGTATTTCGTGCATTGGGCCCCTAGTTATGTAATAATTGGGGTGAGAAATTCATTTTCCCTCTTCCTCTTCCAGGAATTGGGTGAAGTCAGTGTCTCAGAAACCGGCTGCAGTCCTGGCTGGTGTTGTTCAGTGGGTTGTACCATGTTGCTGGTTCAATTCCTGGTCAAGGAACGTGCCCAGGTTGTGGGCTCAATTCCTGGCAGCTGATCAGTGTTCTGCTCTCACATGGATGTTTGTCTCTCTCCCTCTCTCTTCCTCTCTCTCTAAAAATCAATAAAAACCTATTTTTTAAAAATGGAGGGGAAAAGGGGACATCGGTACTACTTTCAACAATAAAGATGTATTTTTAAAATGTATTAAAAACATAAGTTATAAATCTCTGGCATCCAAAAGAAGACATCTTTACCTCCTGCAAGGTTGCCCAGTGGCAGCTGTCAGAAAGAAACCAGTAAGAGAGAAGTAGCACCCAGAGGAGATGAGGGCACTGAACCCCACAGTCAACTTCCCCATTCAATACTATTCCTGGGAGTACTCATTCCCACTTGCCATCTAACACCCTGGGGCAAGCAAGGTAAAAATCTCAAATAAAAACGAGTATTACTAGTACAAAATTCTTGGGGGGAAATCAATCCTACAGGCACCAGTATGTAAGTTCTGGATTAATGACACAGCTTTGCCAGTGAATAAGTGATGGCAACACTGTATTCCAAACATACACTAAGGGGGTCAAACTACAAAATTATATGAAAATATCAAAAAGCGCAGTTACTTTGGAAATTCATTTATTCAGAAATGACCTGTGCAGTCAGTGATAAACAAATCTGTGTTATACAGAACTATCACTATGTAGTGGCCTTGACACACAGGGCCCAGAATCAAACTTCTTAAACAGAAAGTAAGAAGCAAGGGAAGAATGAGGAATGAAGCAAAGAGAGGACATGGCGGGAGAAAGGATGTGAGGAGGGGGAGGAGGAGGAAGAGGTGGAAGGTGAGAGCCAGGCTGGAGCTCCCTGGCACCAGAGCAGTGGCAGGACTGATGGGTGGGGCAAAGCTGTGCTGAGCTCCCTCCCTCTGCTGGTCTGCAGGCAAGGACTGCCGGTACCTGCTGCAGCTGACATTTTCCCAGGAAACTCTGCACAGTCCTGCTGATAGCATCATTGTTCCTCTGGCTGCTGCCCTGAGAAGTAAACATAAAAGGGCTACAATGCTGCAACTGCGTCAGCGTCATCGGCATGGGAAGGCGAGAGGCAGGGTAGGGGGAAGGGACAGAAATCTAACAAATATAAAAAGGTACCAACTTCAGAAGAAAAAGGAGAGATCAAAGTAAAAGGTGAGAGTTGTAACAGTTATTTTGCTAAAGATAAAATTCTTAGTAGTAAGGAATTGAAAGCAGGGTCTCAAAGACATACTTGTACACTCATGTTTACAGAGTACTATTCACAAATGCCAAGAGGTCAAGGAACCCAAGTGTCCATTGATGGATAAATGAATAAACAAAATGTGGTAAGTATATACAATGGAATATTATTTGGCCTTAAAAAGAAAGGAAATCCTGTCACATCCTACAACATGGAATAAGCCAGTCACAAAAAGACAAAGACTGTATGACTCCACTTCTATGAAGTATCTACTGCAGTCAAATTCATAGAAACAGGAAGTAAAGGGGTGGTTGAAGGGTCTGGGGAGAAAGAAATTGAGTTGTTTAATAGATACAGAGTTTCAGATTGGCAGGATGAGAAAGTTCTGGAGATGTTTCACAACAACATGAATATACTTAATACTACCGAAATGTACACTTAAAAAAGGTTAAGATGGTAAGTTTTATGTTAAGTGATTTCTACCACAATAAAAAAGAAATTCTGGGTAGTGATTAAAATTAGGGTACAGCCCTAGCCGGTGTGGCTCATTTGCTTGGAGTGTCATCTGGTGTACCAGGATGTCTAGGGTTTGATTCCGGTCAGGGCACACATCTAGGCTGCAGGTTTGAGTCTCAGTCGAGGTGCATATGGGAGGCAACCAATTGGTGTGTGTGTGTTTTATCCTTTCCCTCCCTTCCTCCCTCTCTAAAATCAATTTAAAAATTTTTTTTTAATTTAATTTAAAAAATTAGGTTTGGCTCAGTGGATAGAGCGTCAGCCTGCGGACTAAAAGGTCCCAGGTTCGATTCCGGTCAAGGGCATGTACCTTGGTTGGGGGCATATCCCCAGTAGGAGATGTGCAGGAGGCAGCTGATCGATGTTTCTCTCTCATCGATGTTTCTAACTCTCTATCTCTCTCCCTTCCTCTTTGTAAAAAATCAATAAAATATATTTTAAAAAAAAAATTAGGGTACAAGCGAGCACTCCTAACGAGGCCAGTTTTGCAAAACATCCTGCATCCAAAGTGATCCTCCTGCTTGGTCCTGGGATATTGGAACAGCCGTAACCGCTGTGGCTCCCTCTCTCCATCCCTGGTCTGCCAGGCATCTTCCTTGTTCTCTCTCTAGTCCTGCTAAGGGCCACACAGCTTAGCACAGTGTTAAAGAGCCCAGGCTGGCTGGGTTCAGATCCTGACACTATCCACTGCCTGGTTATGTGACCTTCAGTTAGGTATCTGACCTCAATTTCCTCATATGTAAAACAGGGACTGTATTAGTACCTCCCTCATAGTGTTGTCAGTGATAAAAATATTAATATTATTACTAAGTGTAATAATAATTTAATAATAATATTAAGGATAATAATATGTATACACTTAGCACAATGCCTGGCCCATAGTAGGTGTTCAGTAAATGCTTGTTTTTATTACACACACAGAAATTTAGGGTACAAGGGAAAGGGAGAAAAAAATCAACCTTCTAAAAGTTACAGGTATTTTATCTAGATGGAGAGATTAATGAAACCACATGTCTTTAATTCTCTTTTAAAGTACTAATACAAACAACTTTAATGGCTGGGGCAAAATCAGTATATAAGAAGTAATGCAAATCTGAGCTCCAATGGGCTTCAGAGGTTCACTTCCATAGAAGAGCTTTGGAAAGAAAAGACCCTGCAAAAAGCCCAGGGTTACATGCACAGTTCTCCAGGTGCCCGCAATCATCTTGGCTAACAGTCTGATGACTGTGGACCACCATCAGAGATACTACAGAGCCCATGGGGAACCACACAGGAAAGTCACCATCCAAAAGGTCACATCCCTCCTTGGCAATTAAAATGAAGACACTTTCCCTCAGCACCTTGTGAAGATGTTCAATTTCTCAAGATTCACCTCAGGAGAAGTCAATTTGTCCACAGGAAGCGTAGTTTCCGAAGCTGTCTACTGAGAACCGCTGAGAGATGTGGATTGAATTAAGCTTTAAGGTACCAAAGTAGTAGTTCTCAAACAGCTGAAAAGGAAGAATAAAAACGCAGAATGAGTATCTAAAGACAATTACAGATGGAAATATTAAGCATCAGGTTCTCTTATAAAAACACCAGAACAATCTCAACAAACTCCTCATGCTTTGTCTTTTCTGTATTTATTGTCAAAAATGCTCCTGGAGAAGAGAAGTGGGAGTGGGAGTGGGAGTGAGAAAAGAACAGCAGCTCTTCTGATTAATCTTAAAGCCTCCTCCAACAAATGCACTAGAGAAAGAGGTCTGAAATGTTAGTTCCAAGATATCTATTGAGCAGATATGAACAAGAACTTGTAACAAAATACCCTAATCCACAGGGCCTAACAAAGCAGCTACTATAACTTCCAGTTATGTGGGATCCTAGTTTTGTTACAGACAGGATAAATTTGGATATAATACATTCCTCTATCTATTCAACAGCATTTAGTGGAAGCACTGACTAAAATACATAGAAGATTCCTGACCCATGAAAGATTCTAATGACCCAGTGAAGAATACAGAACACTAAAATACACAACACAGCCAGACCACCACTTCTATCAGATGATATAGCAAGTATAAATTATTATATTTATCAAAAATCTTTCATCAGATGTGGATTCAAGCCAGCATTCTAAAGTAGACATTCTTTATTACAATTCTTCACTTTAAAAACTGTCAAGTGTGACCTGTATAACTTTATTAATCAATGTCACTCCAATAAATTCAATTAAATAAAATAACAACTTTCAGAGATTCCAAAATGGCAGCAGAGTAAGTGGATGCTACACTGACACACTCCCAGGACCAAACTGGAATTACAACTAAAGTACAGAAAAACCACCCTGAATAATCAAACGAAGACTAGCTGGAGAGAACCCTGATAACCAAGGACAGAAAGTGGAGACTGCTAGGAAGTGCGGAGGCACAAAAGGGCTAGTTGGGCTCCCACAGCTCCCACAGACAGCAGCTGAGGTTTCAGAGGGATATCTCAGCAGTGGGGGAGGGGGGTCCCCACTGAGAACTCTGGAGTCTAAAGCCCAAGCCAGGCTCTCCAACCCAGAGCACCAGAACTGATAAAGATACTAACATAACATCTGGCGTAGAAAAACATCAAAGTTGCTGTCTGCTGGGGAAGATGACTGAAAATGCAGGCAACCTCTTAAAAGGCCAATGCACAAAATTTCACGTGCAGCTATTCACCATGGGGTCTAGCAGAGGGAGGGCAGAGTGGAATGGAGTCTTGTGAGCAGAAGCCAGGGTTGGGGGCTCTGGGGTTAGACCTAGGAAGGCAGACACCTTGGTCTCCTGTGCTGAGTCATTCCCTCATGCTGTGCGGACATATTTTTCTGGTGGACCTTTGCTATCCAAGTAGGTTTTGTGCGCCCCCGGGGGGCGGTAGGGGGTTTGGGGGGAGGTGGTGCCCCACCTATTAAAAAACCCCTTACCCCAACCTGTGGAGTTTCTGAGACCCATTAAGAGACTGAGAATAACAATCGGCCTGCAGGCATAAGCAATTGCCCCACCCTGTTGGAAAAACTCTCACCCCACCCTGTGGTCCATAGCCTGATGCTAATCAAGACTGAATACAATCAGACTGCAGGCAGAGGTGGGTCTCTGGAGGCTTTCAGTCTTTGCCTGATCTAATTGAGCGGCGCCAGGGCTAGAAAATGCAGAACTTGGTGCACATCTTGGTCCTTTCCAAAGGCACCTAGCTCTAACAGAGGGAGCCACAAGCTGTGGATTGCTGATAGCTCCAAACAGGGTACTCAGGACCAGTCAAAAGCAGCGGCTGACACTGTCCTGCACTAGAGATTGGGAGGCATAGCCGATCTACCTAATACATAGTCACAAACCCAAACAGGCAGCCAAAATGGGGAGACAAAAAAATAAGCCCCAAACGAAAGAATAAGAGAATGCTTCAAAAGAAGAGCTAAATGAAATGGAGATAAGAAACTTATCAGACATAGAGATCAGAATAATGATACTCAACACAGCCAGACCACCACTTCTATCAGATGATATAGATACAACAACAATGAATGACATAGCATTAACAAAGAACACAGTGGAAGGAATCATAGCAGATTAGGGGAAGCTGAGAATCAGATCAGTGAATTAGACAACAGGATAGAAAAAAATCACTCAATCAGAGAACCAAAAAGAAAAAAATATTTAAAAACAGGAGGACAGCTTAAGAGGATTATGGGATAACATGAAACTTAACAATATTTGTAAAACAGCAGGGCCAGAAGGGGAAGAAAGTGATTAAGAGATAGAGAACATGTTTTAAGAAATAATGGCAGAAAACTTTCCTGACCTGGTGAAGGAAAAAGACACACAAGTTCAGGAGGCACAGAGAGTCTCAAGCAAGAAGAACCCAAACAGGCCCACACCAGACACATCATAATTAAAATGCCAAAAATTAAAGACAGAGAGAGAATCTTAAAGGCAGCAAGGGAAAAGCAAACTGTTACCTACAAATAAGCTCCCATAAGCCTGTCAACTGATCTCCATCAGAAACTC